ACACGCACACATCAGCAACCAACTTCTTGACATCATCCCCATGTCCCCATGTCCACCCCGTTCTTCACAACCTTGCTGGTAGGGAATCAACCTGCAACCTGAGTTTTGCCCCCCCCCCCCTTCCCGATCCTTTCTGAAGAGGCGCTTGTGATCGTCTGGGGGCAGGATCTCCGCCACGTCAATGGGGTGGTCCTGGATGGAACCCGGGCCACACAAATTCGGGTTCATTATAAAGGCATATCCCTGAACAGGAAGGGTTGGTCTGGCCTGAAAAATGGAGGCGTCCTCAAAAGAGGGGACACCATGTTTGGCCGGTGTCCTGAAAAACTTGGATGCGCCAACAAAAATCCCATTCTGGACGCCTCCTACGCTAATTTGAAAGAGGGCTTTCCTCGCTGCTTTTTTAGAAGCAAAGCCACCAAAGGAAAGGGTGCCTGTTTGGGGAACCCCCCTTTTGTGCTTGGATTGGAACAAAAGGCCTGAAAGGAGATCAAACGGAAACTAGGAACCAAAAAGGAAAACGGAACGTCCACCCACGCTCTCCACTTGCAAATATTAAGAGACCTTCTTGGGGCAGTAGGCCAACTTTGGGAGGGACGAGTTTCGCACCTTCAAGAGCTCGGCTCATCTGGACATCGGGGCAGCTTAAGGCGTTGTTTCGTAATCCCAGTTTGGTTGCTTCACATCTGGCTTCACGGGAAAAACAACAACACGAAAAAGGTATTCTCCCAAAGAAGAAACCGGACCTATGGAAGGAGTCTCTCAAAATGCCGGAACTTTGTTGGTAGTTAAAGAGAAACCAAGGAGGCCTCCCATGGGGATCCGAGTCTCCTGTACTTTGAGAAACACCAATAAAGGAAAACAACGCATGGCCAACAGGCAAAACGTACAGGCAAGATCTACAGAGCAAGTGAACCAGTCGGGGCAAGTGGGCTTGGAATTGCGAATGTGCTTTCCGGGATGGACATTTACAACACCTTGCGCTTTCCTTTAGGGGAAAGCACGATCGCTGGGGCCCAGTGTGTTCCTGAGCAATTGGGGCTCCAATCCCCAATAGGCCAACATCCACAGCTCGTCTGAAACTGCGCAACTCTGGATCACACTCTTGCACCCTCTCTAGCTCTCGCGTGGCTGAGTCTCACAGCTAGACGGCTCCCAATTCCGTCCTCTGAAGGAGCGATGTGAGGGCTGGACTTCCCCTCCGTTTTCTCCACCTCTTTCAACTGCCGCGCCACCCGTAGGCGGGCCTCCTCATACCGGGCCTGGAGTGGGCGGGGGCTTTGAGTTTGAGGGAAGAATCTGGAAGCCCGACTTAAATCTGCATTTCAATGCTCACCAAGGTTTGCCCTGTACAGCACCAACAAGCCATCTGTCTTGCCAAAACTTGTTAAACAAAGGGAGGGTACTTCGATGATCCAAGAAAATATGGAAACCCGAAGAGTCACTGCAAGCTAGGAAGCCATCATCGCCCCTCCACTTGGAGTTCAGACTGGCCAAGCGCCCCAGGCTCCGCAAGCATCATCCCCGGCGAAAGGGGGAGCCCGCGGTGCTGTATCCAACCAATTGGGCAGCACCCCAAAGGCAGCCCGAACTCGCAGGAAAATTGGGGACCCCATAGGCTGGAGCACCCCATGAGTGAGTACGCCCGCAAAACAACCGAGAAGCACCCCACAAGCGAGCGCCCGCTTGACACTGGGGAAGGACCCCTGCGCTCCGGGCAAGAATGACCAGGTCCAGGAACAGGCCAAGGCTGGCAAAGACGGGCGCCTGGACGCACGTGCCGCATCCGATCTCCAGGCAGTCGAAGAAAGGTTTATGCCTCCAGGTCGGCGGAAAGAGCTGAGGGTTCTCTAAGGGCCAAAAGAAAACAAGGCGCAAAGGCGCAATGGCACCAACGAAGGCGCCTGCAAGCAACGGCGAGCAGTGACAGCAAGCCAAAACGCCGAGACCGGACGGCACGTAGAATCAAGGCACAGGCGGCAGCAGCAATCAGCAAACACACGCAGCAAGGAAACAAATACGGGAGTGGGGGGTGGTTTGCCCCGCGCCAGTGATCGCGCGCGGCCCCCTGAGCCTACTGGAAGCATCCGCCCCACTCCCTGAACCCGAAAAATGGGAGTGCTTGACTGGAGGCGCTGCTGTCTACATGCATGAGGTTCCGTCAAAATGCCTCGTTGCTGTACCGGACATTTAAGTATGGACAATATCGCAACAGTTTTCAGTGCCAACATTACCCATAGACATCTTTTTCTGAGAGAAACATCTCGTTTGTGCTCCAATCCTGTCTCAATTCATCATGTCTTGTCAATTTGGCCTAGGGTTCAGACAGACACATCATGAATATACAAGTGACATCAAGTAACTGTACTCATAATGAATGACATAGCCATGCCAAACACATAGTTGTTTGTCTCACCTACAGTCACCGGAGTAAGCCCGCCCGCCCGCTCACCACCAAGCCGCCTGGGCCTTTTGCATCGCAGTCTCCATGGTGGTCAAGTCCGCCTGCCGACTAGACAACACAAAAGCATCGAGCAGCGTCAGCTGACATTAGATTTCACATCTCAAAAGCCAGGCTAGATTCTACTAAGGCAGCAATGATACTGTCAACATGCACATCGGGGAATGCACGGAACTTGGGTGACCCAAATGATGTTCAGTTCAACATACGTTCGGCAGGCGCATCACATTGAGTAGTGGGCCTAGCAAGATACTTCAGAAAGACTTAACAGTACAATACTGCGTCCAGCAAAAGGAAGCACCAATTAGGGAAACAAACAGATATAAAGTAAGGAAGCTCATCAGGAGGCTCGGCAAAACCAAACACTACACCACTACAACTACGGGTTGAACTCCCTCAATACAACACATGACTCAACGAGAGCTTGATTTCTTGGGGGCCAGCCATTGTCAATGTTCAAGAATATAATTTCGAAACTAAACTCTAACTATGGCATGGCCGAGTACTCAGATTCTGCTGACCTACAGGTGAGCTCCGTTTGCCGGATGGGTGAGCTCTTTCCATAACAAATTAGCAAACTGGATTCAACAATGCCTTCAGCTGATTTTTCAGCTTGATGCCTTTTCTCAGCTGCCACTCTCGTCGGCCGCGGACCCCTGGCTTTTGGACAGAATTGACCTGTAGCAGCTTTCGGGCCGGTTTGGGGAAATGAGGGTCTGCCTTAGAGAGGCTTAACACTCATCTGGGCAAACTATATATACACTATATATATATATATATATGTATGTATACACATAGTGCACCGCTTTACAAAAGGGAACCTGCATCATCCAAGGGTCGCACACCAACTTTATAAGCTCGCCATCATTTATGTTCGCCCAGACTCACTTTGAGGAAGTGTTTCCCGCTGTGCTGAATCACGCAACGCTCCCCAAAGCGTCCGTTAAATGGCCATGGGTCAAAATCCAAATCGTACCCCCAGCGAACATCAACCAATCCAACAACGAAAATGGGTTCTAAAATGGGTGGTGAATTCACCTACCCCAAGATGGGATCGATCCAAACGGTTTTTGACCGGATCCAAATCAGCAGGTTCCATCCCGGCCTCAATGGCATCCAGAAGCACGTCATTCTCCTTGAGCTCCTGGTCGTCCTGATCCTGGCAACGTCGCTCGGGGAGAAACCCCCCTGAAACCCAAAAAAGGGAACCCCTTTTAAAAAAGGCACTCCCGTGTTTCCCAAAAGAGTGCTTTTGGGAAACTGCCAAAACTTGCCGGCTGATCCGGGCTTCGGCAGACAAATACACACCAAAACACCCCTCTGACTCTAACAAATAACTCTATCAGTTGGCAAGCGTTCATGCATCCCATACTGAAGGATGGACTCTTCGCGGAAATGACATAAAAGCGTCCAAACTCGAAAAGTCTGAAAGTCTAAGAGTCTGGCTGGGAACTGCCAAGCTGCTGGAAACAACAATGACAACTGCAGGGACTTTTTTGCGGGTTGCTGGTTACCCTTCCTCTTCAGGGGAAAAGGATAATGAGCAAAAAACCCATTGGATCTGCCAAGATGGTTGGGAAATGATGGGAAGTGTTCATGGGAAATGTTCAAAGTAGGGGGACGCCAATTGGGGTCGTGGTTGTTCCTTTTGGTTTCTGAGAACCAACCTGAAAAGGGTACCCAGCTTCAAAAAAACACAGGCCTTACGTTCCGGCCGGGTCCCGGCGGACACCCAGAGATGGGGCTCAAAGCATCAGGCACAGCTACAGTCCCCCAACCTCAGGAGTTCGCTGCCGTGCAAGTGACAAATTTCTCGGTTGCTTTCTGCTCCCCTGCTAAAAGTTTAACTTTTAGTGGTTTAGTGGAAAACCCATTAGTTGGCAAAAAGTTAAAGTCCTAACAGCCAAGCACAATGCACCAAAGTTTTGTGGGAGGTTTACAAGTATACAAACTGCAAAGCACTGAAAGTCGAACTGTAAGGAATCGCCAAGTCGCACGGAACCCAATTACAACCTGAATCTGAGGCATGATCGTCAAACCAAAAATAAGGGTCTTATTGGGAAAGCCTCGAAAGCAATGGACCCCGCGCCCAAAACCCCCACGAAAGGTGGAACCACCAACTTGTCCGGTGCTTTAACTGGGTTCTCTCGACTTGAACTTCCTCCCCCTCGGGCGCGTGGCTAGCCTGCTTCTTGGTGACATCGGACCATGACGGATCGCCCATGGCGCCAGAAGGAGATGGGAAGATCTGAGCTGAAAAGACTTCGATCTGCGCGCAGCCAACTCGTTGGTCTGCCGGAAACGCCAAACAAGGCCGTTGCACCAAACATCCGTTGTTGGAAAAGAGACTCGGCTTCTCAACTCGCCAAAATCCAGTCCCAACTTGCGGAAGTGCAAAAATACAATACCCAAAGACCCTAATGGTCACATTCCGAACCTCGAGGTCGATCGGACTTCTCAAAACGTCCATAGCTTCCCCAACCTGGAGGGCTCGATGCGGAAGGCCGCGAACTGATCGGCGGAGTTCTGCGGGCCCCGCTCCGCAGTCAGCGGGGTGCAGTGGGAGAGCTCCTCCTCCAACTCGCAGAAGATCTCCTGCGATCTCAATCGAAACGAAAAAGGTTGGGAGATGGAACCAGCAACCTTTGATGAGAAGGATTTGTCTGGAACCTTTGGGAAAAAGGGGGATGTGAAAGGGTGCACGTAACATACAGGCGCCCCCGAGCAGTTGATGCTCATGTTGATGTGATTGTGCTCCAGACACGAGCCATTTTGGATCTCGAGCTTATTGAGGGAGGGACTCCCCCCAAGTGAGCTCGACAAGGCAAATCAGGAGGAAACCTGCAATTCAAACGAAAGCCGCGGTTGTTTCATAGCAGGCATTAGATCAAAAAGACATGGTACACTGGCAGGTTGATCCCTCCGCTGGAGTTTAATTTAAAATCCCATCCAGGTGGGCGTTCTTTTGGTTTCCCTTAGAAAGCACCCGCTCCTTTTTTGTTTGAGCCTTGCTGATAAACTTTCTGTGGAGAAGGGAATGACATTGTGAGACTTCACGGTCGCTGTCCTCAACGAATCCCAAAGCCTAGAGGCGAATTTGACCCCTTCCGGCCCCCCCCCCTCCAAGAAGAAATATATATAAATATATATATATATACATATATATACATATATATATATATATACATATATATATATATATATTGCGGTCAGCTACAGCTACAGACCACATACAGCTGCAAGAATCCAAGTGTCAACTGTTGGTGCCTGTTGTAGTTGCCCACGGTTGATAATGGCCAGTGGCAGAGCAAACAACGGCAAAAAGATCGGGCATCAAAAGCAGTCGGTTGAATCTGACTTTGCTCTCATACGCTTCTCTCACACTGCCCCCCTCGCCCCGAAGACAAGAAGAGACCTATTCATCCGGCGTCCATGTCGAAGGAACCCCACGATGGGTACCTTCCGTTTGTCTTGGACTCCAAAAAGGCGGGGGGGGGGGGGTCCTTGAACTCAACAAAAGACACGCACCTCCAAGCCCTTCCAAGCCTTCCAGTTCGGAAATGCGAAAAAACAAAGGTCGTCCTCCGCATTGCCAGCTCGCCGGCCCTGGCAGGCGCTTTGGCGGGCTATCGCCGGTTTGCTTAGGCCCTTTCTCGCAATACAAACTGCCCAAAGATGGAAGAACCAACGAGCACTCATGGAGCAATCGATTTTCTGGGTCCAATTTCCCAACAAAAACATGCATGCTCATTGAGCCGAGGAAGAACAAAAAAGCGGCACCGGCCTGTCGCAGCCGCCTTGGCCCCTGGCGAACGGCCAGGATCAAGAAATGAGACCGGTGGACAATGATGGATCTGAGGTTCGGCACTTGGGGATCCCTAAAATGATTGCAACGGTCAAACAAACACACAGAGAGAGAGAGAGAGAAACACCATGGAAACTCTCCTCAAGGATCCTCATGCGATATCGAAGTCCTCACATCGGCAAGCGCAGGAGTGGGCCAACTACTTCTAAGTGTCAACTCCTTGTGTTTTTGAAAGAAACCAAGGGAGGATGCTTCGACCACCCCTTTTGCTCTGCGTGACACCATCCCAAAGACCACGAAGGGCAAATCGGACTGTCAGCTTCAGCTCTTGGGCAAACATTCCATTCGTTTGGCCCGAGCCAAACGAACTTCTCATTCCTGGAAGAACAAACAACAGGACAGTCGGCTGACGGCTGGATCCATTTGCCCAAAGAACCGGCGATCCCGTCGCGCGGCCCCTCGCGTCGCCTGAACCCGAAGGCCCGAGAAGCAGAGACCTGGGCCATGAAAACAGGTGGGTCAGCGAAGCTCCTCGGACGCTCCTCGATGGTTTTTTGGTGGATTTCCAAGCCAAAACCCCAAAGTGAACAAAAATATCTGGGTCCATAGTGAGGATCCTCAAAAGTACCCTCGACGTGCTGCTTCCAAAATTGCTTCTTGAGAAGCCCGCCCCTCCAACAACAAAAAATACGCGCTTTCAGTAGATTAGTGTTTGACTTGTTTTGACGGTACCCTTTTGATGGTTGTTCAAAGGAAGCCCAACTGTATTCCGTCCATTTTCGGGCTCCAGTTTTAGACACACCGCAATGGGTGTGTCCCAGCAAAGGTTGGCCCACCCCCAACAAATTATGGTTTTCCGCGAGAGCTCCCCTTGAAACCGCGTAAGGGCCTGAACTGCTGGGCTGACGCACCAATGTAGCACACGCCGGACAAACATGGCGACAACTTGAGACATAATAAAACTTTCGAGAACACGTGAAGCTTGCTATTGACTCTTAGTCAAGCGTTGAGAAGCACGTCCACCGCATTCTCAAGTTGTCGAACGAGTAAATATCCTGAAGCGTTCAGTAGAATGGGGGAATGATTCGATTTGTTTCCAAGCGAAAGCTCGACCAAAGGCAATTTTCCGCTTGGTGTCTGTTCTCTAGGGGACCCCCCCCCCAAAGAAAAGAGGTTTTCCTCTTGGTTTCCCTTCGAAACCACCAAAAAAAGTACCCTCAAAGACACCCCCACTTGAAAAACAAACAGGGCTGTCAGAATGGCTCCCTCAAGAGCCCAGAAGACAACCAGTCTGCCCGGTCAGCTCCAGTTCAATCAGTTTACAGGGCCATCCATGGACGCTTTGCGCAGTCTAAATTGTGCCTTTGGGGAGGACCCACCCTCCCGTTGCTGGGGCAAGACAAACGACAGAACGCGAGTGTTGTGGCCCGAGTTGCGCGCACAAATCACGGCGCGACTTGAGGACGCTACCTGGTTTTGGTGGGCTTCAAAGGAAACCACCAATTTGGGGGGGTACCCTGAAAAATACACCCACACTAGTGCTCAACATCTGGCAATGACTACCAGAAGTCAGTCAAGGATCAAAAGCGCTTCTTGCCGCACCTCTTCGTGGCCGGAGGACCGTTTTTCTTCATCCACCCCAACAGCTTCTTGGTCCTAGGGCTCATTCTATTTCTCACCCAAACATTGCATTGCAGGTCACAGGCCTTAGTTTCGACTAAACTTGAACTTGCAGATGACCATGATGCCACCCTGTCTGAACCTTCCAACAAGAGAAATATTTTGTTGACCCCCCCCCTCACCCCCAACACCTCCCCGCGCGGAAACACCGAGCGCCTGTGAGGCTTGCCAGTCCGACAGCGCACAAAAGGCGCATGCCAACATGAGGGCGTCACACGCGGCGTGGCAAGCTGAATCGGATTGGTGGGCTCTGATTTGAAGGAAGCTCATTCCCCCGCAATGCCGAAAGCGCCAACCACTTGACTGGATTTCGAACTTGAAACTCCGAGCACTCTTCAGTGGGCGAAAAGGAACCTAGCAAAATAACTCACTCCGCTTGCCACTGCAAGCTGCGCCAGGCATTGAAAACAGAGCTGTGGGACATTTCTTTGCCACTGCAATTCTCATGTGACTTCTAGTTCAGGCCAATGTTTCTATCAAATCTTGTGCGGATGTCTGCACACGGCACATGTGGTTGACCTGGTCCAGCTTGGGCATGGGAAAGCATATTCTGCGTGCCGTGGAATGGCGTCAGTCCCCCTCCAGTGCTTGAGCAACAAACACAAAGAGGTCGACGGGTTTGTCTCAAATGTTCAATGCCTGACAGCAATCTCGAGAAGCGGGCCAGACTACAAAGCCTATGTGCAAGACGAGGCCGTGTTATGTCGGTTGTACAGCTTTTGCTGTCCGAGTCACCTGCACTGAAATGTTATCCCATTCAATTCCATGCCATTCCAATCCCAGTCCATTCCATTCACTCATTCCATGCATGCTATTCCTTTTTTGTTGTATGTATCTATTTATTTGTTTGTTCGTTCGTTCGTGCATTCATTCATTCATTCATTCATTCATTCATTCATTCATTCATTCATTCATTCATTCATTCATTCATTCATTCATTAATTCATTTCATGTCCTTTCATGTCATGTCATGTCATGCCATGTCATGTCATGTCATTCCATTCCATTCCATTCCATTCCATTCCATTCCATTCATTCATTCATGATTCATTCCATTCATTCCATTCATTCCATTCATTCCAATCATTCCATGCATTCCATTCATTCCATTCATTCCATTCATTCCATTCATTCCTTTCATTCCATTCATTCCTTTCATTCCATTCATTCCTTTTATTCCATTCATTCCATTCATTCCATTCCATTCCATTCCATTCCATTCCATTCCATTCCATTCCATTCCATTCCATTCCATTCCATTCCATTCCATGCCATGCCATGCCATGCCATGCCATGCCATGCCATGCCATGCCATGCCATGCCATTCCATTCCATTCCATTCCATTCCATTCCATTCCATTCCATTCCATTCCACTCCACTCCATTCCATTCCATTCCATTCCATTCCATTCCATTCCATTCCATTCCATTCCATTCCATTCCATTCCATTCCATTCCATTCCATTCCATTCCATTCCATTCCATTCATTCCATTCATTTCACTGATTTCATTCATTTCATTCATTTCATTCATTTCATTCATTTCATTCAAAACATTCATTTCATTCATTTCATTCACTTCATTCATTTCATTCATTTCATTTCATTTTATTTCATTCATTTCATTCATTCCATTCCATTCCATTCCATTCCATTCCATTCCATTCCATTCCATTCCATTCCATTCCATTCCATTCCATTCCATTCCATTCCATTCCATTCCATTCATTTCATTCATTTTTCTTAATTCAGTTCATTTCATTCATTCATTCATTTCATTCATTCAATTCCATTCCATTCCACTCCATTCCATTCCATTTCATTTCATCCCATTTCATCCCATTTCATCCCATTTCATCCCATTTCATCCCATTTCATCCCATTTCATCCCATTTCAATCCATTCCATTCCATTCCATTCCATTCCATTCCATTCCATTCCATTCCATTCCATTCCATTTCATTCATTCATTCATTCATTCATTCATTCATTTATTCATTCATCATTCCATTCCATTCCATTCCATTCCATTCCATTCCATTCCATTCCATTCCATTCCATTCCATTCCATTCCATTCCATTCCATTCCATTCCATTCCATTCCATTCATTCATTCATTCATTCATTCATGCATTCATTCATTCATTCATTCATTCATTCATTCATTCATTTATTTCATTCAATTCATTCAATTCATTCAATTCATTCATTCCATTCCATTCCATTTCATTGTCATATCATTTCATTTCATGTCATTTCATTTCATTCCATTCCATTCCATTTCATTCCATTCCATTTCATTCCATTCCATTCCATTTCATTTCATTTCATTTCATTTCATTTCATTGTCATATCATTTCATTTCATTCCATTTCATCCCATTTCATCCCATTTCATCCCATTTCATCCCATTTCATCCCATTTCATCCCATTTCATCCCATTTCAATCCATTCCATTCCATTCCATTCCATTCCATTCCATTCCATTCCATTCCATTCCATTCCATTCCATTCCATTCCATTCCATTCCATTCCATTCATTCATTCATTTATTCATTTATTCATTCATTATCCATTCCATTCCATTCCATTCCATTCATTCATTCATTCATTCACTCACTCACTCATTCATTCCTCCCTCTCTCCATCCATCCATGCATCCATGCCATTCCATTCCGTTCCGTTCCGTTCTGTTCCGTTCCATTCCATTCCGCTCCATTCCATTCCATTCCAGTCGTCCCGTCCCGTCCGTCTCGTCCCCTTTCCTTTCCATTCCATTCCGTTCCCTTCCATTCCCTTTATCCTCTTCTTTGCCTTCATTCGCTTTCCATTCGTTCCATTCCTTCAATTCGTTCGATGGATCCACTCATTCCCCGTCCCTCCGTCCCTGCAATATTGTTCGCCAGTCGCTGGCAGAGATCCCTGCTTGGGCCACCGTTTGTAGTGAACTCCGAAAAAATGATGCCGAATCCACTATCACCTCACTAGCGGCTCTGGAAGGGCAGAATTTGGCCCATTCTCCCCAAAGCAATCGGACATTTTTGTCATGCGGCTCCTTTTGGTCAGCGACACATTCAGCGCGTTGACTTCAGCGAGGCTCATCGGCTCGATCCTGCAGCTATGGAAACTCAGCAGGGAACGAGTTGGAAGGAGCCCGATTACTGCAAACCATCCCTGGTGTCGTGTCCTTTAAGGGCACCCCTGGGTTCATTGTCACCCGGAACGGACATTCCCTATTGCACCAGCAAGGTTTGTGCAACCCTCAGGCCGGAAAGGGAGACATTGCCCCCAAAAGGATACGTGAGGAAGCTCCAAGCAACATTTATTCATGAGGGCCGCAAACCATATTTGTGGGGTCACCATGACATGACATCCCACTACCAAAAAGCCATATATCCAAACATCTGGACCGCCCCAAAGCTGGAAATGCACGTCCGGCCATTTCGTTTCTCTGAATTCATCATACCATCCCGCGCTTGGATTTCAGGAAGCCACACAAACACATCCTGATGTCATCACTCCAAACAGAAAGTCCATTAACATCGGCACCCCAGCTCGGTGACATGTAAAGCTCCCAACAAAAATCTGAGGATCCTAGACTTCGAGATCCCTAGGTCTGACAAAATGACACGAGTGTGCGCGAGCTTTAAAACCAACCTTAGTCAGGCCTCTCGGAGCAAACTAGCGACTATTGCGCGAAAGATGGCGCAATTCCCGGGATTTGTTTTTGGCTCCACGCGCACCAAACACTTCACCCCGGCACGCTCCGCCGCGCGCCTGAGCCGGTCGCCTCCCGACCACCCTGGCAAGTGGGGAGCCGCAAATCGCGGAGCTGCGGAAACCTCTATAAGGGCCATGATTAGAATAGGTTTGGGGGTATGCCGAATGCATGTTTCGTGATTTCAAAAGTATGGGGACTTTAAAGCCAAACTAGGTCATGTCGTAAAAGAACAACGTGTGTCATTAGTTAGCCCCTTGTTAAGCAAGACAAATGGCTCTTGGTAGCAACCTCTCATGTGAAGTCTGTTAAAAGCCACGAGATGCTTTTCGATGCAAAAACAAACTCAAGGAATGGCTTGTTGGCTGCCCCTCAGGCTTGGATTGAGTACCCCACATAAACCACTGCTTGCAGGATTTCCAGCAGACCGACCTGCCGAAAGTCGCTTTCAAGAAGCCGAAGGCTCCAAGTCTGGCGAGTGGGGGTTACAGGGAGAGCAAGCTGAAATCAAACCAATGTTCTGGGCCGTTCAACATGAAGGGTTGGCCAATCCGATGTTCCATGTGTTTATGTTGAAGCCACTTCAAAGAGGACCGGTTGCTTGCGTAACCCAAGGCAAGGATTAAGGATTACCTTTGAAGAGCCCAGTCTTGTCTTGAGGCTCAGAGCAACCCTATACCTCCAGAGGCCTCAGGGTGCAAAGGTTACGAGTCTCCGACATGAGCTACGGGGATGTGTCCTTTTTCAGGAAACCTTTTGCGGGCTGCGCTCAAGGGAAACCAAAAAAGGAAACTCTTTTTGGAGGTTCCACATCCTCTTTGCAAACAAACCTATATAACACCTCCAAAATCGAGCGTCCTGCCAAAGCTGTCCTGCCAAAACGAGTCACCTGAATCCCATTTTGGGCCTTGCGAAACTGAGTGCTGAATGTGCGGGTGACGCCATGCTACCGGGCTCTGAAAGAAGACTGAAGGCCACTCAGCCCGGAAAACAAGGTGCTCGGCCCTCGGGTTAGCGGCAATCTGGTTGCAAAATCATATACGTCCCACTCCTTTAAACTCGAAATGCCCAAGGAACCTTCAGACTTCATCACGCCAGGTGCCGCTCGGAACCCTTTGTTGGACAATCACTTCCATGGTTGGACTTCCCTTTGAAGATCATCCATTGGAAGTCATCGCCACACACCCAGGAGAAGGTAGGGGTTGATTCCCCATTCATTTCAACTCGCCTCAAACCCAGTCCCCGGTGTGAGTGTCCTTCCAGTTCCGGATCCCGAGAGTTTTTTTGTCGTGGGCACCCTTTTCAGCTTGGTCTGAAGGGAAACCAAGAGGAAAGCAGCATTTCGGGCCATTTCGGGGGGTCCAAATCACCGGGAAATCTATGCGTCTCATTTGTGTGCTGGGACTCGGATGGTTTTCTAGGAAGTGGAAACCCCGCCGTTCGAAGTAATGTTGACCCAGGATTTATAAACCCGTCCCATTGTTAGGGGGGTGTTCCCTCCAAAAGTGGTCTGAATCCCCACTA